CAAAAATTGAAATTATTTTTAAACGGATCGAATACTATCACCGGTCAGAAACTGGAAAAAATATTGTACCGAAATTACGCACCTATTTTAGTTTTCATAGCTATGTGAAGCAAGGTAAGAGGGCTATTGATTATTTTAAAATCGAGAGGCATCAACTTGTGATTTACCTACTCGAAAGTAACAGCGGTAATTAATTACTTTTTTTCAAGTCGCCTGATTTTCACTACATATCGATTTACTTGTAATTGGTTTCTCTCACCTTCCCTCCCGAGCTCAGAGCCACAAAGGCTGTATTGTTTCTGCTTGCTGTAGGTAAACAGCAGCAGGACTGATAAGCAATATCTGTGTATGGATCACAAGTTATTTTCTTAAGCCTTTGTGAAATTACTCGGTTTCTTAATGAAACTAAGTAATGATCGATAGGCGTACTAAAAATTAGGTAATCGTATAAAAAATTAATAAATAAGAACTAGAGTTCTGTTCTGGAAGAAAGAAAAAAACAAAAATCCCATTTGTTAATGGAATTAGCCTTTAGAGAGAAAATGATTTATAAAACGCACACTTACTCAACGTACAAATGAAGGAATATTGTTTGTTTATTTTGGAATCAAACCTGTTCAGCAGCGGGTGCTATATTTAAGAGGGCGTGTTCTCTTGAGATCTGTCAAACGTAGTTTTATTTCACACTCTTTTGACTTTTTAATTCTGTCTCACCCGAGGTTTTCTTTTGGCGGGTAGAAAAACGAGAGAAGAAATCAGGGAAAGAACGCGTTCACCATTGCATCGTTTCCAGCACCACTAACTCACTGATCGTAATATTTTCGCTATGAGCTTCAAACTGAACCAGGCTAGGAAAAGAAATAGACTGCTCGCAGTCTAAGACACACGTGATTCGTTTCTATCAATATTTTGTGCTTGTTCTTGCGTCCCAAATTTTGAGGTGCCGCTCGCACTCTCGAAATTAATGGAAAATACTCGGCCATGAAAGCAATGAAGGTCGGCTACATACAACATTGTTATGTTCAAAGTCAAAAAAGAGTGTGAAATAAGACTACGTTTGACAGATCTCAAGAGAACACGCCCT